CCGAAAATACGACCATATTTTTCCACCTTTTGACCTTCACCAGTCCAACACACGACCACCTCCAAAAAACAGTCCTTCCTGCACTCAAGCACGTATCAGTGGCATGCGGTCAGCGACATCGAACATGCTGGAGGGGGGATGATGCTTAGAAATATCCCATACACAAGAGTGCAGCAAGTAAACTGGAAAACGAATTTCTCTCACGGTCAAAAAACGGGAACGAACGGAGCCTGCTACGTAACAAAGGTAAGGTGGGTGGTTCGTGCAATTTTTATGGCCGTTGGACCAGAGCGTTACCGAAGGAACCACCGAGCTCACGTTAATACCAGGCGATCGCAGTTCCGATGGTCACTTTCCATGAAAAAACCCCACACAAAAGCAATCGAAGTCGTGTACCGTGAGTGGGAAGAAGGCGAGCAGAAGGAAGGGGCGCCCATTTCACGATCGGATGAACCCTTAGATTTTCGCAGTCCATTGTCAAACAACATCAAACATTTCAGGCCTTCCCGGGAAGCCTAAATATGATCTGGCCGATCCGATCGTCGAAAACGCTCGGGACAACATGGATTATGCCGGCCTCCAAAGAAAATTAGTGTTTTCTATGGTGCTTTTTGCTTTTTCTCCTCACTAATGTTCCTCATTGCACCCCTTGCCTAATGTTTGAACAAAATAAAGCATCAATTCAATCCCGACTCGTGCCTTTTAAGAACCTCAAGCTTCGTCCTCTCCATTACTACATACAATCGGCCACGGATCTCGCCCGCGTCTCGCTAGCCTACACTCAACGTGCATTCAGAGTCTTTCTGAACTTCCACAGAATCCAGACTACTCCTAGATATCTGCTTATTACGGCCATCAAAGCAGAGATTAGCCGAAGGGTCACTTATCCAAGATTAGCTTTTGAAGCAGAGATAAACATTAACTTCATTCTAAATGAGTATACACTCAAAGCTATATTGCTTTGACGTAGTTATTGGATCTGAAAATGAAAACAGACGTATTGCGACGAATCGAGAGAGCACAGGAACGAGAGAGACACAACCAGCAACATTCTGACAGCGTTTGTAATCGATGCAATATCATATGCATCCAGCCGCCTCTCAGGAGAAGATTATAGTTCACAATAGGGCGTCTATACTCATAACCCGCCCCGATTTTGGGGTCGACTCTTCGCGCAAGCGGCGAAGCCAACGCTGCGCCCCTGCTCCATTTTTGGATCGCTGCTCGCAACTTAGGTAGCGTTGAGCGCTGGAAGCCTGCGCCAGCGTGGGTTATGGTATACCATCCTGTTTTCAAACTTTATAAACATTCAGTAGGCTCAAGGTCCAGATGCCTGCGATATGTGGAGAGGACGCGACTACCTTATTGTCGGAAATAGCGCTACCAAGGACTTTTGTGAGTGTGCCTATAAGCAGCCCTCGTGGTAAGTTGGCACAAACGATAGACTCTAAATTCTCTGTTACCGGAACTTACTGATACTTTTCAAACCTTCAGTACCTGGATACCAAATATCGTTTACAGTATGAAATACGCAATCAGAATCCTCAAGTATTCTTAATTAATTTTCGGCTGCTATTCGTCCCGGGCACGCCAGAAACGCAGGTCGCACATCTTCCAGGTCGCTCTGCTTCGGGCTCTTCTGCGCCACAACTGGCCGTACATCTTCACGAGAGGGTCTGCCCATCTGGTGGGGGGTCTGCCTCTGGGCCTTGTTTTTTCCCCCTTGGGTACTAGTCAGCAGGGTGAATATCGGTCGAGGAAATCCTCGACAGGGGGGTCGTACCTGTCGGGCTGGGTCATGGGGGGTCGTACTCTTGGGGTCAGTAACAGCAGTGGTATCATGGTGCAGATAGGTAAGAGGGTATAGCGCAGCAGAAAATGAAAATATCTGAAAAAAAAACATGATATTAAATTTTCTTTGCAGGTTCAGTCGCTCCATTCCTCCACCTTCATGAGAAGGGCGTATTTGAAGGCAGTACAAAGAATGAAAGTGCATCCCCGCAAAGAAGACTGCCACATGTGCGCACGCGCTGCAAAGGCACCTCCTCTGCCTATCGCTCGCTCCTTCTCCCTTAATACCTCGCTGAGAATGACACTGTTGTTAGGGACCCTGTCGCAAAAACGACAACCGTGAAGGAAAAGCCCTGGGCAAATGAAGTTGTTCTTCAGGTTGTAGGAGTTACGAAATGCGTTTACTACAATGCAGCTTCTGTCAACTGGTCATGATCATATGACACCTTCGAATCGATTCTGCAACTTCGAGTGAGGTCGGATGCATGGCCTATACTCAGACAAAATTCGATGATGACGATTGCCCCTTTTCCTATTGCTTATGTTGGGAGGATGTTTTCTAGACCCATTTCAAGCGTTGCCAACAATTACACTTGCAATGGTGAAGAGGGAGCGGATTTTCAGGTGGCCGGATCCGTCCTCGATACATACTCGACGCAGATATCTTCTCAACTAGGGAAATGTAGAAGAAAGCTAAGAAAGACCATCAGAAAGCGCAAACCTTCCGCTTTCCAAAACTATCTTCCCTTTTTCAGGATCTTACGACATTAGAGAGATATTGCTCTTGAAGTGGCAAAAACTCGCGTGAAAATTTCAGCGTCCTCGACGTTTACTCGACGAAATTTGAGAGACCCTATCTTTCTGCATGGAAGGCTTTCAGAGCAATTTCAATACTTCTTGGAAACGCGAAATCCAGCTCTATCTAACCCTACCTCAAACTGCTTCAAAGGTTATGAAATGGAGGAATGCAACCTTTTCATCGAGGGTGTAGATTTCGACGGTTTTTTTTGGATTTCAGCAAATCTGACCCAGTGACAATCGCGCCGCAGCTGCCGTTGAATCGGCCTTTGATACACTCGGCTGTTTTCGATATACTCAAGCAGGAATCAAGATTAAATCGCAACCCCGTGCCTTCAGGATTTCTGTGCATTTCTGAACGAACCTGACTTTGAGGTCACACAAAGTTAATGCCTCTTTCCTCGAGTCGATATTTCAGTAAATACACAAAAGTGTGCAGCGATGAAAGACAGTGCACAGATGACAAGATGAGGCGTCCATAACATTATTTTGCAGGATTTTTTTTGATTAATTAATTGAATTAATTTGCTCTGTTTTGGGGGTCGTGCCAGGATCTCGATTTCGGGGGGGGGGGGGGGGGGGTCGTACTTCTGCGACCACGTACTCGACACGATTTTCACCCTGCTCACAGCCAGTCACTCTTTTCTTTCCAGCGAGAGTGACTGTGGTGTGAGTCTAACCACAATGACCAGCGATCCGCTTGTAACTGTAGTGCATCACGGGTCTTTCTCATCATACGAGCGCGAATGTTTTCATTGAGCATGCAGTCTCGGAGCGTTATACCGCATATGGCCCTCTCCAAGTATTCTACAGGGTTCAAAAGCATAGAGCGCCAGACCGGTCGACGCTAACGTTCCTAGCAATTTTTCACTCTACAGAAGAAATCCCAAACTGAACGATCTTTTCCGATGACTCTAATTGTAAGCTAAGCTTTATTCGCTTCATTCATAACTGCACATAGGATCTCTGTTCCAATTCAAATCCCTTCACTCACTGGATACCAGACGGCCTCTATAACTATCATCTCCCTGTTCCGGGTTCCGCTCAACACTTATGCGCACCTAGTACAAAAAGGTTACACACCCACTACCAGCATCGGAATTCGGAACACCGCTGCTGCACCACAAGTAGCCGAAAAGCCAAAAAAAGCAAATGAAGATCAGAGCCACTCTCGCTCCTGTTCACAAACCCGATCTTCCATAAGAAAAAATCCCTTCACTCCTGCAATTTGCACAAAATCAATTATATAAACATTTATGCAATTTCAAAAACAACATAGAGCAGCCTAAACGTTTTTGCAGCACATCTCTTTCTCATTTACAGTACATCATTTAGTACTGTTCTGAACACTTTCAGTTTAACTCTTAGGATTAAAGACCATGTGTGTGTCAAAATAGACATGAGAACCAGTTAAACGGGGAACGATAATCCACCGCATTGCGTGGATAATAACAGATTATATATCACATAACATATACATTCGAAACAATTTGCAAGGATCTAACTGCGCTACTAATCGATTATCGATTGATCAGCACAGTAACTCTAACTGCGCTACTAATCGATTATCGATTGATCGGCACAATGTCTACGGTAGGTCATGAGCGGTACAGAAAAGGGAGGATTCGGGGATATTACGGGGTGGGTTACATTTAATTTAGAACACACATTTAGCGCAAAGATCCATCATTGTAGAACACGCCGCTATACGTTCGGTCATGCACACACATAATTTAAAGACCGAAAACGCCTATAAGAGAAAGAAAAACAGTAACATACTGTAAAACAGGTAAAGTACCACACAAGCTGGAAGCCGAACTTGAAAGTCGCGCATGCATACGCTTTGACTTGACCGGATAAGGATGAAATAACATACATTTATAATAATAGAGGCACCTGGACGCGTTGGGATGCTATCATAAAGCCAATATAAGCGCAATGCAAGAAATGGAGATGACGACCATAATCAGAAAATGTGAAGGGACATTTTGGTTGCGTGTCGCAAACACGCTGCGCTAAAATACAACGCCAAACCTATACAACAATTATAAAGGACCAATTATCACAAAACCGCGACTATAACGATGATAACAATAAATTCAGGTAAGAGAATCGGTGAGCATATGAAGTTCAGAGGAGGAATTATGACGAATGACGACGAACGAGAAACAACAACGAACGGCGATGGGACCATGCACATGGAAATCCACAGAAATGCTTTGAGGGAGTTTTTGGGCAACCTCGGCAGAATTTCTTCCACTGGTAAAATATCACTAAGTTCTTCTCACAAAAATGGGCCAAGGAGGATCCTTAGTTGTGAGGTCTTTACTAATTGAACTCATCGGACTCTCACTGGTTTCTGCGAGGTGCTCTCATAGCCCATCAGTAAATTGCTCCAGTCGTCCGGTGCATTACTGAGGCCTGCTCAACGGTGATGATGGAGATTGCGGAAGCGCCGAAAGATTCGCTTGCTGCTTCGACGTCGGCTCCTGAAGAATTCAAAACTAGCAAGCAAAACAATGGTGAGCCATGAATGGTCAGCTATGTTCCAACTAAAATAACAGAAGAGTTGCGATAGGTTCGTGCGAACCTCATCGAAAGTTCTCCAATAGGCGAAGTTCACTATGAAAAGGCAACCCATAGAAATGAAGGTAAACGTGGACAATGGGGTGTCCCCCAAGAGGCCCATCGCGCGGCGAAGGAAGAGACGCAGACGCGGCAAAGGACGAGTCGCAGCGCATACTGTAGCGGTTAGGCGTCAGGTTAAATAGAGTGTACCATACTACGTCTCATATCGCACAGCACGCGCTGCGACTCGTCCTTTGCCGCATCTGCGTCTCTTCCTTCGCCGCGCGATGGGCCTCTTGGGGGACACCCTGGACAATGTGCAGGGATGAAAAAACCATGAGAAATGGACCCTTCCCTTGCCCGCTGATTTCCGCATTGATGCGACTCTCATCGGTGCTGCCCTCTTCAACGCTAACGCTCTCTCTGCTAAACGGCTAGAGACCTGCGGCGAGTGGTTAGCCAGTCGGTGGGCGTGCCGCGTCGATAGCGCCGCGGGGACGGCCATGCTAGATCGCCGGGGCATATCCTTCGCTGCAAATTGCGTGTCGGTCAGCACCCTTCGGAATCCGCCTGTCTTTCCATCCTTTCCATCCACTAAGTATGTTTCTCGCTGTTCGATCTTCGACCTTATCTCGTGAAAAACTTCCTTCATACCCTCTACCCCCTCCCGCTCTCAACTCAGCAAATAAATCGCGCATATCCCCAGAGAAAGGATATCGCTAAAGCAAATTGACAAAAAGGCACAAATGTTGTGGTGAATGGAGGAGCGGCTGATATTGGTCCAAATCTTCCAGTACCAAGCGCAACCAATCCGGGTCATAGGGCAAGGGTAACGCCTGATGCAAGGCTAGTTGTGGGACTACGTGTAAACATCCGGGCGATCTAAATATCCTGTCATTGCATCGCGAGTTAGGGGCGACGGAGTGCTGACCATCCTACAAAATTATAGGTGTTGCCCATAAAGCTGCAAGTCTTACCAAGTAAGGATTCTCACAGCTCGTAGATGACGTTGTGGTGTTACCATCTCGCCCTAATGAGGATCCTAAAAAAATGATTTTATTTCGAAAAAAAAAACTTACTACAAGCTTTCACGATGAATTGAAACCGTTTAGATGTGAAATTATATGTATCAAATTGTGCATTTTTGAGAAAAAAAAACAGTGAAACCCCCAAAAACCGGAATAATCTGACAGTCCAATGTTACCTTCTGAACTTTTACTGGTCGTGCTGAGAGGCCTTGTCCGATGCATTTGCTCAATATCCTGTTTGGAGCCACCGAGTTGTTTCACAGGGTGTGTGCTGGCCGATGATGAGCTCGTGCTTCTCATTATCGGAATAAGGCCACGTACCTGTAAAATATTTCTATTTTTATGACAATTCAAAAATAATGGAGAAATGTGAGTTTTCCGTCAATAACATAAAAAATTTGAACACTAAGGTCACGTTCATAGTTCGCGAATCCGGGGACTAGGATAGTAGTAGAGTAGGAGATTGCGCTGACAAGATTGGATACGTATCGATTGAAATCGCTGGAGAGTAGTAGATTGGGCGACTTCAAGCGAATAGATCAATACATATCTAATCTTGTCAGCGCACTATCCTAATCTACTACTATCCTAATCTCCTACTCTACTACTATCCTACTATCGTAATATCGCAATCTACTACTCTCCAGCGATTTCAATCGATACGTATCTAATCTTGTCAGCGCAATCTCCTACTCTACTACTATCCCGTCAATACGTATCTTTCACTGTCGCGCACTATTCGAATCTCTGCACTCGCGAACTATGAACGCGGCCTGAGCGTTTCCACTATTGAGCTTTGTGAACTATACAGCTCTTCAAAGCAAATTGATGGAATTCAGCTTTGATCAATCCCTCTACCTGAATGCAATTTGGCCTAGATAATGACTTGCAAGGGACAGCTGATGTACAATCCAGCGTTTTTTTTTTGTGGAGACATAAATTACCAAGAAAGCAACCCAAAAGTATGGTAGGCTTCAATGCCTGTGTGGAAGTTGTCTCAAGATCAAGGAAAGTGGCGCCACCACTTCCACCCTCTGCGAAGCTAGAAAAGGCTAAGTACGATCGACAAACAAAAACAGGTTCGTAAAGATACTAGCTTGAAGCTAACGAGGTAGGCTGAAAGCAACTTTTTGACGCTCACAACCACTGCGCTCATGCTCCATCGTGTTTCAACCTAAATTTTTTATAAGGCACATCTGAGATTACCCTTTTTGTCACTACTTAGTGAGGCAGCAGGGAAGCGTCCCAACAAGAGAAAATTTGAAATCACGCACCCGTTCTCCTGCCGACTGATTGTGTGCTCCACCTTGGGGTTGTAAGTCGATAAAGCTCTGCAGTTCATGAACCGAGCCTGGTCCCATATGAACAATATGCATGAAGTCACTTGGACCAGATATAGGAAGATTACTTCGCCTATCGCCCGGCCTGAAATGAATTAATACTTAGAATTTGGTGCAAGCATTGTGAGAACAATACTCCTTCAGACAAGGATTTTTCGACTCAAAGAATAGATAGATCTGTATTCACCGTGATTCATCCTTTCCCGGCACGCGAACGGAGAATTTCCGTTTTCCTTGTTTCCTCTTTGGAAGCGAAGTTGATGAATTGCTTGCCATTGAGTGAGGTACATATAACGAATCTTCATCTAAACTCAGGAGACTTAATTTGCGACTCATTTATACCCTCCGAAATATTTTTTCGCAGCCAAACTTCTAAGAGGAATACAAAACAAACGCTGTCGTAAAAAAAAACTCAGATGACCAATACCAACATTAGGTGAACTCAAAGGAATCGAATTGTGGACCGTGTTAGAGCTATGGACCACCTAATCAAACATGGGGAGGTGTGAACAGTTTGCCAGGAATAGCAAGAAAGCAAAATTACTGAATTTCTATGACCTAACTGTTTTTACTGCGCTCGAATATACAAGTAAATGGGCAAATGGGGCTGTAAGGGAAGAAAAAAGGAACTGTCGGAAACACTGAAAATTCAGGCGCCTTTTATTCTGGAAGATGAAAAAAAGTCTACTAACATGCGATGGTAATGAACTACAGGTGGTACTGAAATGACGTGAGAACGAACTCCAGAAAAGAACATAGAATGTGTGAGACGCAGACATCAACGCACATGTAACGGCATACGTGTATAGATATGTAGTGAGTACGCTTGCAAGTCATAACTCTGCTGTAACGCAAAAAGGCACTACCTGCTGTGCACCAAGCTACCTCATTCGCGGAGCTGTTCTTCGATAAAACAGTCGCGTAATGTGCCTTCAAACAATGCTACTTAGAACAGCGGCGAAGAAAACTGAAATGGTGCAATACGTCTATTGGCGCCTTTGACGCTTGTTTGAATCCACCGAATTCATGACTGCTTTCTTGACTTTACTGCTAGATTACTATTGTTCGCCGAAAACTTTCATGGTGACTGCTTGAAAACCACTTCCTACCAGGAGGCTAGTCATCATGGGAATGGACTTGTAATTTAGGAAAACTCTGGAGGCAGGACTCCTTCAAGAGCCCCTATTTGAAAACCTAGATCCACGGCACTAAGGTAGTTCTATCTTAGCCAATTTGATAACAGCTTTTAAAAACGCACCAGAAAGTACGTCACACAGCATCACAACGAACGGCGCATCGTTCACCACACACAATGAGAGAAGACCATTCGATGTAAGAGGAAAGGCAGTCCTGCAAAAATTTTCGTGCAAATTTAAACGTTTGGAGATCCTTCTCGTACAAACTCGTGAAATCGAAGTTAATTACGAAAATTACACGTGAGCACAATCTAATCGTAAGTGTATTGTGATAATTAAAGCCCTACTTCAAAACATTCACATAACTCAAAAAGATTGAGCTACTAAGCTGTTAATTATTAACGTGGCTTTAAATTGAATGAAGTCCGATCGACAATCAGTTAGTCTAAGATGTGCCATGAATCCGACTTCCATACGCTTACTTTCTTCTCTCACATGTCCAATGAAATGCGACATTTCATTACCACAAGTTTCCTAAGTTCTGCTTTTACCTGAGGTTGATCGTCTGAATCCACTCGGCCGACATCACATTGAAGACATCGATCTGATTTTCAGAGTATACACATAGATGAGGGCTCAGGTGGGCGAAGCCTCCAGGTCGTGGTGCCGATGGGAACATCAGTTCTTGCGATCGACTTCTTCGGCCTGGAATTCATACCATTCTCTTATAATCTGTGTATCAATCAAACATGCTCGCATTCAATTAAAGCAACAGTCCCAGCAGGGTTTTTACCTTCGACACTAATGGTGTGGAACGATGCGCTAGCCCTAGTCAAGAACATAAGTGTGACTGAACAAAAACTCACCTTGGAAAGCCGCTAGAAAAAGAGCTGAACGGCTTCGAAGTAACTCCCTTTCTAGCGGCTTTCCAAGGTGAGGTTCAGTCACACTTCTTATGCTCTTGACTAGTGCTAGCGCAACGTTCCACGACATTAGTGTCGAAGGGTAAAAACCCTGCTGGGACTGTTGCTTTAAAACAGCAAGAACAAATTCC